CTCCATCCCCAGTAGGAGGGGTGCAGGAAGCTTCCAATCAGTGATTCTCCTCTCATCATTGATGTTTCCATCTCTTCTTCTCCCTTCCTCTGAAATGAATAAAACATATTTTTAAAAAAATTAAAAAGAAACATCTGACCTATGACCTAGCAGCTGCACACACACAGGCTGCGGCCTGGCCTCCTCCCTGGGCGTGTGGACAACCCTCAGGCCTCCTGTCTGGTGAGGACTCACCCACAGGGCGGGGCGGGGGCTGGGAGGAGCCTGTGGGGCCAGTGGTCATGCTGGGGTGGGAGAGGCCAGGATCCCATGGCCAGAGGCAGAGCAATTGCTCATGTGCCTCTCAGGTGACCTTCTTATTGATTGTTTTAGGAAGAAAGAAGAGAAATCTTTGAGACCCGAGGCCCGGCCACAGTTCTCTGATGACATCAGCAGCAGGATTCACGAAGGAAACGATCCGTACATTGGAGCTCATGGAAAACAGCCTCCTTGGCTTTGCAAAGTTTTCTCAAGAAACAGGCAGCAGAGAGGAGAGAAGAGACATAGGTGATAACAGCACATCCAATGGTGACCCGTGCAGAGAGGACAGGAGGATCATGAAATTTAGCCAAAGAACCACAGCCCAGGAGGACACAGGCAGGTCCAAGAGCAGGCGCGTCAGGAAGAGGGTGTGTGACGGCCACGAGCACAGGGGAGGGCGTCCATCCTCAGCTGTTAGGGACACACCAGCGAAACCACCTCTGCCCCTCCTGCGTGGACGGGTTAGCAGACGTCAGTCCCCCCAGGCCAGGGACAGTGCTCAGCAAGGACAAGGAAAGCGCGCTTTTTACAATACATGTGTTTTTATTGATTTCAGAGAGGAAGGGAGTGGGGGAGAGAGAGTGGCAGAGGGTACGTGGGACCTCTTTTGGGACAAAGTCACCACAGCCCATTAGAGAACAGCCCTTCACAGGGGAAGGGGATGGGGTGGCCCTGGGATCCTGTGCCTCTAGCTCATGGGCTGACAGAGGTCACTGCGGGGTCAGCCCTGGACCATCTCCTGCTCCCTGTCCCCTCCCTTCCCAGAGGCCAGCCCCTCCACCCCTCCTGCCCCTGGGGGGTCACCCAAGCCCCTGGCAGCTCCTGGACCTTCATCTCAGAACCAGCCACTGGGGACCAGCCCTGCCTCCCTCCTGCCCCAGCTCAGCTCAGCGCCCAGGGACACGGGCGAGTGAGTGCACAGCTGCTCCCTGCGGCCTGGGTGGTGAGGGTGTGTGAAAGGCGCTGCATTTCAGATTCCAGAAACCAGGCAGGAGGACAGCCTGTCCCCTCCCCTGGGCTCCCCTTGCGATGCAATTGAAGGGGATCCCCCACAGGACTCCCCTCCAGCAGGAAGGAGGCCACATGTTTCCCTCTTTAGTCTCCCTGCCCCCAGGCCCTGCTGCCCTCCCAGGGGACATGGCCTTTACCTGACCTTGGGAAAGGCCTGGGCAGAGGGGGAGCCTGTCCTGGCCCCACAAGGGGAGGCCCTGGTGCAGAGGGAGGAGCCAGGCCCTGCTCCAGGCTGGTCCTGCTCAGACCTCCTCCAGGCCCCGCCTCCCTCCTGGGCCCCAGGCTGTTCTCCCCACAGGGTCAGGGCTCTGTCCTCCACCTGAGGACCAGATGCTTCCTGCTCAGCCCCCCTCCCCCCTCCCTCCGTCCTGCCAGGGCCCTGTCATAGTCCCTGCTGCACCAAGTGAATGTGTTCACTGCCATGTCTTCCACAGTTTCCCCCGGGACCCAAATATCTGGGCTCCTCCCCTGACCAGATCCCCAGGTGGGAGCGCAGGGTCTGAGGGCTGGGGGACAGGGTCATCCCTGCCCGGCCGCTCTCTGAGTGTTTCCCCTCCTGGGCAGGCAGCTCTCCCAGCATCGTCCCCACAGGCCTGTGGGTGAAAACTCTCCTGCTGGCTGGTCCCAGGGACCCACGTGGTGCCCCCACAGGCCTCTCCTCCGGGCTCTCAGCAGGAGGAGGTGCGAGATGAGGGGGTGCAAGGAGGAGAGTCATGGGCTCAGGGTCCTGGGGAGGGGCAGGGATCCACCCACCTGACCTGTGGGAGGAGCCCAGGGAGGGAGGTTTTTCTCTCTCTAATCCACCATTTCCATCACCAGGAACAGAGGCCCCGAGGACAGAGGACCCGTGAGTCCCCCAGCGCTGCAGGGGCCGGGCCAGGCCAGGGAGGACTGCTGACCCTGAGCCTGACCGACAGCTGCTCAGACAGCGGTGAGTGTGGGCTCCAGGCCCGGCGGGCAGGTTTCCGTCCCACTTCCCCACCCGTCTGTGTCACTGTGAGTAACTCCAACTGCTATAGTCTGCACCACAGTAATAGTCGGCCTCGTCCTCAGACTGGAGGCTGGAGATGGTTAAGTAGCGGTTGACCCCGGAGCTGGAGCCCGAGAAGCGATCAGGGATCCCGTTCCCCTTGGTGTGGCTTCCGTCGCTATTGACCTTCATCAGATACCGAGGGGCTTGTCCTGGTTTCTGCTGATACCAGTGTATATAGTAGCTGCTGTGCTCAGCGCTCAGGGTGCAGGTGAGCTTGGCCGAGGCCCCCGGGGCGGCAGAGGCAGACGGGGGCTGGGTGAGCACAAGATCAGCACAGAGACCTGCGGACAGAAAACACAAGAGTGATGCCCACTGCGCCCTGATGAGCAGGCGCCCCTGGGACTGAGCTGGGAGGGAGAACCGGGGGCAGGACCCCAGGTGCTGTGGCCGCTCTGACCTGTGGAGACGATGAGGGGCAGGAGGTAGAGGGGAAGCCAGGCCATGGTGGAGGGTCCTGAGCGCTGCCTGCGGCTGGCAGGAGCTCAGTCCTGCTCTTTGCACTTGACACAGCCCAGGGGACTCTGACCTCTAAAGGCCCCCAACCCGGCCCCCCAGCGCCCCCTGGTGTCCCCAGGGTGCATGTCACCTCCCTGTGCAGCTGGTGCATCACCATGACTGCTTCTGAGAGCTTCCTGGAGGCTGACAGGTGGGGGGGGTGTCCCTGGGCCCCTCACTCAGCGTCACAGGAGCCCACACCGTCCTCTGCTGGGGCCCAGCCTCTCCTCCAGCCAATGAGGAGGGATCATCTTGGGAGGTGAATGCTTTTCCCAGAATCCCCCAGACAGAGATGATGGGTCAAGACTCCAATGCAGGAGACTGACCTCAGAGCCTGACCTTCAGCCCCCTCCCTGCCCTACTCTCCCCCCCAGACCTTCCTCCCGCACTCTAGTCCTCTGAGGCCCTCCTGTCCCTGCCCTCTTTTCTCTATTCAGGTGTCTGTCCTCCCTGAGTTGTGGTGAAAAGGGCTCAGATCTTCATCGTGTTGGCATCGGTCTTTCCCTGGGAAACATGGATCTGTGTGTGGACTGAGGTGGGGACACTCCCCTGCTCCCTCTGGGGCTGACACCACGGGGTCGTGTGTCCAAGGCACAAGGCGTCAGGTCCTGCATAGGCCCTGGGTCGGGCTAGGATGCCAGCCGTGTGGATCAGGATTGCTCTCTGACCTGGCTAAGGCCACTGAGTGTGGAGCAGGGTCAGGACAGGAAGAGGAAGCCTTTGAGTTCATAAAGCATATTTGGTAAGAGAGGAGGTTTCACCTGATATCCTGAAGAAATTTGTGTTTTGAAACCTAGCACTGCTGAGAACATAATGTCACTAATTGACTCCCCCATGCTGGCGGCGCCGGACATGGAAGTGAAGTGGGAGGCGCTGGGTGACTCCTGAGCCACTGCTCAGCGTGTGGATCACAGACAGACAGACCCCTGGCCACTGCTCAGCGTTTGGTCTAAAGAGGGAACTGACATGAGCCCAGGGCACCTGCCTCAGACATGCCCCCTGCTGCTCCAGCTGAGGGCTCACCAGCTCCCCTCTCCCTCCCCCCCCAT